AGCCACCCAGTCTGTAATTTCTTGTTCTGGCAGCCTGAACTAAGACAGTTCCCACGGGGTTCAAAGTCACTGCCCCTCATTCCTATTTCATGCATTTTGTAGGGAAGGACCCACTGCCTCTGGAGGAAGATAAAAATAGAAAAATAAAACAAAAACCAAACTCCAATTTTGACCACTGAAGGGTATGGAAAAGTCATTTTTTTTTTTTTTTTTAGCTTCCCTACATTTAAAAAAAGAAACCAAACCGGTTTTCAAGAAAATCACTATGTTAAACCAAGTGTTAGCCTTCGTTCAACATTCAAATACTTGCTGAAAGCCTACAAAGTGTCAGGCAGTGTCCTAGCCCAGTGCCTCCCAGCCTTTGGTGGGCATGGAAGCCGTCCCGGGGATCTCATTAGGATTCTGATTCTGTGGTAGGTCTGGGGCCTGAGACTCTGCATTCCTAACAAGCTCCCAGGTGATGCCAACCACGCTGAGCAGCCCGGCTCCAGTCCAGCAAGCATCAACCCTGGCTTCAACCTGGAAGCAGCTGGGGAGCTCTGAACAAGTACTGATTTCCAGGCCCCAGCCCCAGACGAAGGCAATCAGACACTCCAGGGTTGGGTCCTGGGCATTGCTAAAGTGCTTCAGTGATTTGAATGTGTGGCCAGGATTAAGAATCACTCTTCTGGGCATAGAGCAGTGAGCAAGGTAGCCCTCAAGGGGAGACAGATGATGAATAAGTAAATTATTTTAGATGGAGATACACGTCATAAAAATAACATAGGGTAACGTGATGCGGTCGGGGGGCACTTACACTGAAGCACAAATAATGAGATGGAAACACCACCAAGATCTGGAGAAATGACCCCAGGCTGAGCAAAGAGCCCACCTTCTACCTCAAGTCTTAAGGGATGACTAGAGCAGGGTCCCATTTGTGTTTTTAGGAAACGAAGCTAAATACTTCTCTGACAGGCGAATAAGAGCAGAAAATAAGACATGGTCCCTCCCTGGAGGTTCTTATGGAAACATGAACTAACGTTTGTTGAACACCTACTGTGGGCGATGCTTCAGCTCTGGGAGCTGACACAGCAGGAAATTCTTCAAGCTTCATCTTCCCACATCCCTGAAAGACCTCATCTGGTAGATCAGGATGGGGGCCCTCTAGCTGGAGGAGAGCGACACAGAGCAGAAGCTTCAGGGGATGTAAGAACCTTGGGGTTCTTTATGGGTGACTCCTGTAACTGTAGAAAAGACAGCAGCCATTGGCTGCCACCCTGTCACCCCCCTGACACTCTAACGGGAAGGGAGCTCTGGTCCACCATTGTCACAGCAGCAGCCCCAGAACAGGACGGTTATAAAGCATTGAGGGCCACCTCCTGAAACTGCCCATCCCCAGCTGACTCCCAGGCAGAGTTCTGGGCTGGAGGAGGATGCTTCTGTCCCCTCCCTCCAGAGGCAGAGCCTGTGACTCACGTCTAAGCCAGTCCAGACCCAACACTCCCCTGGCCAAGCAATTGGCTTAGGGAAGTCATGTGACCCAAGCCACGCCCCCAGAACCTCAGGGCTTCTGCAGAACTGCCTCAGCCACCAGCACTCTCCCCCAGCATTTTTGGGTCTGGGAGGACATAAAGCCAGAGTGTGGTCACCACCTCCCCACACCGGCTGACATCTGAGCCCAGAGACAGAAACTGAGTCTCAACACTTCACCTTTGACCTCACGCTTTCAGTGACTAAGCCAATAAATTCCCTTTTTTGCTGAACCCAATTTGGGGAGGTTTTCTGTCACTGCAGCAGAGGCCTGCCTCACCTAGACGCTAAGACTCCAAAGAACTGCATCGGAGTCACTTACTGTCCTCCGAGCCCCGTGGGGCTGCTGCCTGGGGGACCTCTGCCGTCCTCCTGTGTCAGGACTCTGTCCTCTCTACTTGACTGTGAGCTGCTTGATGACAAGGACGGCCTCTTACACTTGCTTCTGCTCCCCACCAAGTGCCCACTGCAGGGCTGGACACACAACAGCAGGTGTGCGCTACACACCCGTGAAATGGAAAGGAGACTGGAGAGTCTCGTGGTCCGGGGACAAGGAGGCTGGAAGGGGAGTCAGGCTTCAGTCCCACCTGGGCTGGGAGGACAGCGGGGGCAGGTGCACTGGAGCAGGGAGGTCATGAGATCCAGAGTCAGATGACCAAGGGATGCTCCTGCCAGCCAAGAGATCTTGGGAAGTCACTAAACTTTGGAGCATCGTGTTCCTCATCTTTGCATAAACACTAAGAATTAAAGTGTTTAATATTCAAAAATGCCCTTTCATTCCATCACTTGACCAATATTTACTGAGTCCTTTCTATGTGTAGGACCCTATCCCAGAAACAGTCAACACAAAGGATAATCCAAGTATTACTTACTGTTAAACATTTTGCGGTTTCCCTGCTTCCCTCTCCACAAGGGGGACAAGACCAGTCCTTCCTGCCAAATAGGACTGACTGCTCCATAGTTAGCGGAATAATTTCTGATCAGACTGTACACTGAAGAGACAAGGGCAACAATGGGGCATAGAAGACTCTATTCTAAGAACGGGGCCCCGTCTAAGCTGATGTGCCCAGACTAGGTGGGACAGGAGCCACAGGAGGAGGACACAGCCGGCCCACGATGAGGCCATCAATGAGCTAGAAACCAGTCAAAAATGCACTCACCCTGATTCTTTACCCAGAGTAGCTAAGTCTTCCTTTCATGCATGGTGCTAATTTTAGCCTCTCAAGTGCCTAGAGAGGATGGACCCATAGTTCCTGGCCTTACACATGTTCATGGCATAGTCCTGCACATGCACCGGCCACTTCTGGCTGATGGAAGCATATGCTGGAGGAGGTGAAAAGACAGGACGGGCACCACTGTCCACTGGGTCACCAAGACAGATGGGAGTTTAATGGGAATCCCAGATGCTTCTCTGCAAGTTCACCCGGTCCCATCTCCATCAAGCAGAGGATGAACCGTTTAGAGGTTTACCAAAACCTCCGTGTCCCAAATGGACTTCTCAGACGGCACCTTGAGGGAAGGGAAGTTGATGGTATAGAAGACAGGCTCTGAGGGAAGGCCCTGGCCTTCTTCAGTGCATGGAACTAACCAAACATTTCATACCCACAGGCCTAGGTTCCAGTGCCAGCTTCCCCGCTTGTAAGGTTCATGACTTTGAGTGACTCGTGTCTCCTCCCTAGATGTTTTCCAACCTGTAAAATGCAGATAAGACCTGCCTATGAAAATAAGACATGGGAAGACTGCCATCCTAACCTGGTCCCTTGGCCTGGGTTTCTAGTTCCTTTTGCACACAGCCCCATACAGAGCCTTACCAGGTTCTTCCAACAACCCTGCAGTAGGAGGCCAAGTACTATTCTGCCCATATTACAGGTGAGAAAACAGACACCTAAAAAGATTGACTTGCCTGGCAACTTCATAGAAAAGCCAAGTGGTACCCATCTACAGTAAAACCTCATAGGGTCTGCAGGAAAAGGAATTTTTAGGAGGGAATTTACATTCCCACCTCCTACAGTGTTGGTGGGAATGTAAACTGGTGCAGCCACTATGGAGAACAATATGGAGGTTCCTTAAAAAGCTAAAAATAGAGCTACCATATGATCCTGTAATCCCACTCCTGGGCACTGATCTGGAGAAAACCATAAATTGAAATGATACATGCACCCCAGTGTTCATAGCAGCACTATTTACAAGAGCCAAGACATGGAAGCAGCCTAAAGGTCTACCAACAGGTAAATGGATAAAGAAGATGTGGTATATATACACAATGGAGTATTACTCAGCCATAAAAAAGAATCAAATAATGCCATTTGCAGCAACATGGATGGACCTAGAGATTATCATATTAAGTGAAGTCAGTCAAATATCATGTGGTATCACTTATATGTGGAATCTTAAAAAATGCTACAAATGAACTTACTTACAAAACAGAAATAGACTCACAGACACAGAAAACAAATTTATGGTTACCAAAGGGGATAGCGGGTGGGAGTAAATTAGGAGTCTGGAATTAACAGATACATACATTACTGTACATAAAATAGGTAAAGAACAAGGACGTACTGTACAGCACAGGGAACTATACTCAATATCTTGTAATAACTATAATGGAAAAGAATCTGAAAAAGAATAGATATATATGTATAACTGAATCACTCTGCTATACACTTGAAACACAACACTGTAAATTAACTACACTTAAATTTAAAAAAATAAGAAAACCTCATAGTTCCCAAAGAGCTTTTGAATGCATCATCCCACTGAGTCCTTCTCACAAAGACCCCCAAGTTAGGGAACCACAGCTAAAACCTAGGACTGGCCTGTGTGAGGCCCGTACAGGTTCTGAGAAGAAACCTCCACCCATTTAAGCAAAGCCTGCATCTGGCAGGAGAACAGACGAGATGTCATCACTGGGTCCCTACAAGCCTCTGACCGCCTGGAGAAGTCTGAAGAGGCCCATCGAACCACCTCCCAGGGTGAGCAGAACCCATCTACCAGGCTGCAATGCTACCTGGAACTCCTCTTCCAGAGAAGGGACCCCAGCAACCCAGCGTGTCCCACCCCTGCAGCGACCCTGGGCGGTACGACCCTGGTGAGACATCCCAAAGTGCCCTCTGCCAGAGCAGCAGGGTTTGTGTCCCTGAAGCTCCATCAGATGGACACAGAAGGCAAAAGGGAAAGAAAACGAAGACACCCAGGCAAACAAAACTGCGGGAGCTGGGGCGGAACACTGAGCCTTTAGGAGCATCGTGAGAACAAAAAATGAGAATTTCAAACTCTGAAATGTGATCTTTTCAGTTGTTGGATAAAGAAAGTACTGGAGTTGCTTAGCAGCACGACTGATTAACGTCTGTACGTTACCTTTCAACACCTTATAGCTACCCTTTCCTACTCAGGGTCACAAAACCACCTTTTCTCAGCTCTGGCTATAATTGTCCACGTACGCGCCATCTCCAGACCCTGCCAAGTGCCTTAGGGAAGAATCTCTCTCTTACCCGGATCTGTGCAGTTCTTAGCTGTCTGAGTCCCATTCACTGGTGCCATCAGCCTTCTACTTCTCCATGTGTCTGGTAAAACATGTTTGCTGGCAGAAGCTGTTTTGTGCCCTGCATTGGAAAATAAGTCACAAACACCATTAGATCAACATGGCGCCTGCATCCTCCCAATGGCCTTACACGCCTGTATCCAGCTATGTCAGCAACAGCCCTGTTTGATTATTTAGAGCCATCTGTAGGGAGTGATACAATGACTGGAAGCACAGTATCACCTGCTCACCTACAGTAATCTGCTTCCTAGATCTAGTTCATTGTTTCTAGTCCCAGAGTGGTCAGCATGTGATCTGACCTTGGCCAAGATTGCTCCAGTCTCAGCCCTTCACAGGTGCAACAAAGGGTTTAGATAGGTGACCATGAAGTTCTTAGCCAGTAAACATGCGCAGGCGTTCCTGCCCTGAAGGATAAAGTCAGCAAACAGGTGGAGAAAGTTGATGGGGGCTGGCCCGCAGCTTCTCACCCTTGAATGTGCACACACATCACCTGGGAACCTTGTTAAAACGCAGATTCTGATTCAGTAGGTCTGGCCCACAACCCAAGATTCTACACTAACAAGCTCCCAGGTGACACTGATTCTGTTGGTCCAAGGGCCATATTGAGTAACAAGGGAGATCCTAAAGGCCTTCTCCTAAAGGCCTTCCTGATCCAGCAAATAAAAATGATTCTCACTTTAAGACCTTTAAAGTATTCATTTACCTCTCCTGACGTGCACACTACTTCAGCTGGATAATAATACCTCTTCTACAATGCCGACATCTAGGAGCCTCTAGGTATTTTGTTATTTCTTGTAATTGAGGGAGAACACCCACCAACTTGCCCAATTGCAAAGCACCAGGTACTAAGGTGTTCAAATAACCTTTCTGGATTTCTGTTGGGAAGGGCCAGTTTTTGACCTTTTATCCTCAAATCACATAGTTTGGGTTTTGAAAGCCAGTATTAGAGTTAAGTCAAGTTCCACCTGATTTTTATCAATAGGAACCTCTCTAAATTGTCCCTAACTGCTCAAGAAGGTACCATCTGCTTTATTCCCCACGTCCAGGTTGCTAAATCATGCCATTTCTTTCATTTTTTTAAATGTTAGACAGTAATTGGGAAAAAAAGCATATATACATATGTACATACACACACATATGTATAACCGAATCACTTTGCTGTGCAGCTGAAACTAACACATTATAAATCAACTATACTTCAATTAAAATTTTTTTAAATAGTTTCTAGAGGACATTCAAAATTAAAATAGAATACTAAAAAAACAATACTAGAAGGTCCACAGCATCCAACTAAAAATGGGAATGTTAGCCACCTGAATGTCTTCTGAAGCTTCCACCTAGGCTCACATCTGCCACTCCCTTCCCTAAACATGTTTTTCGTAAGTTTCTTTTTCTCTCCATCTTAAATTTGTATATCCTAAGCAACTCCCAAATCCCTCAGTCTCTCCTTGGATGAAGGAGTGTGGATAGTGGTTCCAGGCACAAGCTGGTCCCGCAGAGATTGAGGAGTTGAGAAGCGATGCTGAAACATAGCAGCAACCTCCCGAGGGGACAGACTGCCCACATTTTTAGGGTTTGGAGAGGACGCGTCAGGACACCCAGGGCGCCCCTTCGGCAGGGGCGAGGGGAGAGCTGAGGCTCAGTTTCCAGCCTCAGAATCTGGGTTTTCGAGGGACGCGGAGAACAACCTTCTCTGCTCTGCAAAATGGAAATTGGTCCACCTAGTCTCGTCCGCCCCAGTCCAAGAGAATCCACACCTGGATCCCGCCGCTGCGCTGCCCACACTCCCTGGGCACCCCAGGGACAGACCTCTGGCGCCGAGGGGGCCAATGGTTCAGGCTTTCGCCTTAGTAACACAGACCTGCAGCCGCGTTCTGAGGCCCCAGGGGCCGCGCGCAGCTCAGGGGAACAGGCACCACAGCTCAGAGAGTCGATATCAGCTCTCCTGGGTGCGCTCTACCTGCCTGGTGGGTAAGGGACTGGATGAGCCCTTGGGGCCAACCTGACTGGGAAGGAAAGGAAGACCTCTCGGAGCTGCCCCGCGGCTTTCCAGCCCAAGCCCCCCAACTCCCGGGGCAGGCCCGCACCAGTACCTACCCCAGCTGCCAAAGAGACCAGACGCACAGCACACCAGCGCCAAAATCGCGCACACGAAGCCAACTTGCTGCCACAGCATCTCTCGTCTCCTGCGAACTTTGCGCGGCCGCGGGGGGCCGCGGAGCGCCATCCCGGAGCGCCTGGATGCAGTCTCTGGCAGAGGATGGGGAGCCCCACTGGCCGGAGTGCTATCTGTGGCGGAGCGGCGTGGACTGGAGCGGGCGACGCGAGGCTCAGAGGCGAGGGGCTACGGGCCAAAGCTTCATGGCCCGCGGGCGAGCTCGGCGGGGAAGCCCAGAGGGGAGAGAGGAGGTGCAGGCGCGCGGCGCGGCCGGAGCTCAGAGTCCCGCGCGCGGCGTGCGCGCTCCGCTCACCGTGGCTCCGTGGCGAGGAGGCGACGCCGGCACGGTGGCGCTGGCGGCCCTGGCTCGCAGGGCTGGCGCAGTCCTGGCGCTGGCGCCCCTTACCTGCCCGCTCAGCCTCGGCGCCCTCGCCCGGCCGCAGCCCCGGTAGCACTCAGTGTGCCCCCGCGCCCTGCGCCGCCGCTCGCACTCGCAGCATCCTCCCCCTCCAAGTTTGGCGGCGGCCGCCGGCCAGCGATGTTTCCCTGCTTCCCGGCGAGCCGAGCCCCGGCGGCCCAGTGCGCTCAGATGGGGAGGCAGGCGGGACGCGCGGGACCTGCAACCCTCGCCTCGAGCAGCCTCGACGACGGCCCTCCGGGGGCGAGCTCTCCCCGGGAACTTTCTCTCCGGCTGCCAGCGCCTGCGTCTGCGAGGCCGTGGCGCCTCCCCCCCCCCCCACAGCTCTCGCCTCCCCTCCTGCCCGCCTCTCACCCCCCACCCCCCGCCTCCCCAGCACGTGTACTCCTCCCCTAGGGCGCACTCGCCCGGGCGCTCCTCCCTTCCCCCGTGAGGCTCAACCACTGACCCACACAATCACCCTCCTTCTCCCTTTTTCTCTCCCCACCGCCCCTATGGAGCCGAAACAAGCCCTTCTCTAACCCTCCGAGGCTGCTGCAGAGAGGAACGGGTTATGGCACCGCAGGGACTCTGGGAACAAGGGTTTCTGTAGAGCGATCGCTCTAGTCCGGGCTCTGCACGACCCCCGAGGCCACCCGAGGCCCCCACGACCCCCGCCCCCGGGGCGGGAGATGCACGAGAAGATTAATTGTTCGAGCAGAGCTAACAAACAGGCTTGCACCAAGCCGACGAGCGCCCGCGCCCCCAGGGCCGGCTCCTCCGGGGCTCTCGGGGCGGGCTGGGGAGCCGGCGGCGGGGCGCTACAGCGACCTGCACAAAGCTGGAGACCCGGCAGAGAGAAACCCGAGAGTTCTGCGCCCCACGGGGCTTTCTGGGTTTTGTTTTGTTTTGTTTTTCCTCCTTTTCTCTGATCGGCTCTCTAGTGTAAAACCACTTTAAAAATGGGGCAGGAGGGAGAATTTCAGAAGAGCAGCAGCTGAGTTGTAATCCAGGTGCAAGCAGGTGGTGGGGACCTTTAGCGGAAGGGCCTCAGCCCAGAGGGTGTGTGACTACCCTGGGAATGATTTCCTTCCCTGGCCAACTCATCAAGCCCCTAGTTAGGGCCTGCTAGGGTTTAGTCCGCTTAAAATCCTTTTTGGAACAAGGCCAGCTCTGTTTAATTAAATAAATACACACCCACTGTGTGCGGGATTAATGCCAAGTGCCAGCCAGAGAACAAAACAACCAAAAAATGTGTAAGATCCAGTTCCTGGCTTCAAGGAACCCCAAAGCAAAGGGGAGCCAGACCCTTAGATAAATGCCTGTTTAATAGGGTCAGTTCTAAAAGTCACTGTTTTTGCAGAATGTGTGTTATTCCATCACTACTCAAAATGTGGTCCACAGCAGCATAAGCATTGCCTGGGAGCTTGCAAAAAATTCAGGCTCTAAGTTTCCAGCCCAGACCTACTGAGTCAGAACATGCATTTTTAACAAGACCCCCTGGAGATTTGTGTGCACGTTCAAGTATCAGAAGCACGGCCCTTTCAAATCTGTCCCAATGCTTCTAGTGGGGCACCATCTTCACAGTTCCTCTTGGACTGACCAAGCAGGGAGAATTTTGCTTGTGCTAGCCTGGCATAGTGACACAGGTGAGAGGTACCCGGAGGACCAGGGGAAGAAGATTCACTAATTATTTTCAGTAGTCCTGTTTCAGTAGTCCCACGGATACTGAAGGCATGAACACAAGACTAATTGCAGTAGAAACCCCTAGAGGAAATGAAATGGAAAAGGCCGGGGTTGCCCTTGTGTAGAACAGCTCAGGATTCTGTTTTGTCTGTGGAGCAGCCTTACCATCGAGTTTCTCCCTCTATATGGGTGACCTCTACCAAGCCTACCTGCTGGTGACAAAAAGGGCACTTTTCATATGTTTGAAGAATTTTCTTCTTATTGACCAGGCTGTACAAGGATTGCTATTTATCAATAACAAATAAAAGACCACAGAACAGTGTTAAATGGGCATTTGGAAAGCTAGCCAAGAGCCCTTGGCATTGTATTTTCACCAAAGGAAAAAGTTAAAGCAATAATATACTATTGTCCCGCCGTAAGACAGCATTTGGGTCACATTGGTTAAAGCGTCTCTAATGAACAAAATGGCATCTTATTATACATGCACCCTAATGTTCATTGCAGCACATTTACCATAGCCAAGACATAGAAGCAACCTAAATGCCCATTGATAAATGAATGTATAAAAAAGATGTAGTATATTTATACAATGGAATATTACGCAGCCATAAAAAATGAAATAATGCCATTTGCAGCAACACAGATGGACCTGGAGATTATCATACTAAGTGAAGAAAGCCAGGCAGAGAAAGACAAATATTTTATGATATCACTTATATGTGGAATCTAAAAAAATAATACAAATGAACTTATCTACAAGACAGAATTAGACCCAGAGACATAGAAAACAAAATTATGGTTACCAAAGGGGAAAGTGGGGTGGGGGGAGGATAAATTAGGAGTTTGGGATAAACATATGCATACCACTATATATAAAATAGATAACCAACAAGGACCTACTGTATAGCACAGTGAACTATACTCAATATATTGCAATAACCTGTAAGGGAAAAGAATCTGAAAAAGAATATATATCAATATATATATACATATATATGTGTGTGTATATATGTATATATATGCATATATGTATAACTGAATCACTTTGCTGTACACCTGAAACTAATACAACATTATAAATCAACTATACTTTAATTTAAAAAACTTATCGAAGCTTAAAAAATGGCATCTTATTACTAGGATTTAGTATTTTCCTAAAACTTTTGTCCATGGAGCTCATGTAGGGCTGGCAAAAATAGACATTTCTGAATCCAAAACCGGCCAAAGGAGTCATCAAGTGTCTGTCTTGAAACATTTAGCCAGCTCTTTACTAGAACGTTTCTTTGACATCTTTCACCTGCTCTCAGTTAATAGTTAGAACCTTGGAATAATTTCACATGCACAAATGGATTCCTTTTATCTGACAGTTTAAAAAGCAATTCATTTGAAATTGTACTTTTTGCTTCATTTAAATACTGCCCGTTACCAAATAGCCTTTGCTGCAGCTCTAATGACTCACCCGGCAGAAGAGAGAATTGGATTTTATGTACCTTTCAGATTCAAAGCATCCAGGAGCATTTCCTAAGCAAGGCCATGGAGACGAGTGGAAAGCGCATTTCGGGGTTTATCTTAGCCTAGTTGTGGCTTCATTGACATTGGATTCTGAGTATTTTCTGTGATGTGACATAGTAGGAGACTGTCCACATGACCAGTTTTCAATATTTTGATAGGAAGGCTCAGTCTGTGGAGATAGGTACACTACATGTTTTCTTAAGTATTCATTCCTATGACATGAAGAGCCTCACCATTTAATTCATCTTCTTACTCGGTTTTTTTCGAGTTTACTTAAACGACCTTCTCCATGAATTGTAATTCCTCCTGCTGTGTCTTCCAGATAGCTGTATCAGTTGGCACCACCTAGGGCAGCAGTTCTCAAACTTGACCATGCTTTAGAATCCCCTGGAGGGCTTCTTAAAACTCAGATTGCTAAGCCCCACCCCAGGGTTTCAGCTTCAGTAAGTCCGGGGTGGGGCCTGAGAATTTGTATTTCTAACAAGTTCCCAAGTGAAGCTGATACTACTGGTCCAGGAGCCACATTTTGAGAACCACTGGGCTAGGTTATGCTGTGGTAACCACAAAAAAACAGTAAAACAACAAAAGTTTGCTTCAGGGTAGCAGAATATTCGACTCCAAAACGTGCTACTTTGGCATAAGGATTATTTTGAGCTGAAGGCAAATAAGAGGAAGCAAATACAAGAAAAACATCCCCTATTTGCCTAAATGCAGGAAATAAATCTGTAGAGGAAATTAATCTGCCAGGAAGGACAGAAGTTAATCACTGGTGACAACTCTAGATCCTTATCAGGGACAGCACCAGAGGAATCTATCTACAAACTTTGCTAAAACTCACCCTTATCCGCCATTGATCTCCCTTTATATTTGCCTTCTCACAATTTGCCACCCGTGGAAGCGCAAAGTCTTTTTCCTTCGTCTTCTCACATCTCTAAAGATGTACTTTTACTTTGTTAAAATGCTATATAAGCCCAAATTCTTACCACCCCTTTGAATTATTCATTACTGGGTAATCCCACGTGTATGCACAGTGCACAGGTGAATAAACGTCTGTTTGGTTTTCTCTTGTTAATCTGTCCTTTGTTGGTCTAATTTACAAGGCCCCAGCCAATGAACCTAAGATAGATGGAGGGAAAATAGTTTTCTTCCCCTCCATTTCTTGTCTATCAAGAGGTGTGTCTTGAGGGAAGTTACTCACGTGCTTAGGAACAGCCACAGTCTCAGATATTGCTGCTCGCCATGCAAGAGGGAGGAGAGCCCACTGGAGGGTCTTGAGCTGGCAGCTGAGGACCCTGGGCTCTGTGCACCGCTGCTCACCACTCACTGGCCAAAGCCAGGCACGTGGCCCCAACAACATGGGCAGGTCTGGAAGTGCGCTTCTTCCACTGCAGGCTGAACTCTGCACTCTGCAGTGGGCAACCCCCATGACAACCACACCAGGGCAAACCTCATCCCACTTCCTTGCTTTCTGGGACCTTTCTTGGCCACCCCTTCCCCCTCCCTGGTAGAGTTGGTCCAGCTTGTTCCAAAGCCCTTGACGTGCATCTCCGTTATAGCAATTACATCACGTGGTCTTGTGAAATGGGAGAGAGTATCTGTCTCCTCCTGGCCAGTGAGGACCTCAAGGACCTGCTGTCTTTTCTGCAGCTCTGAAACACAGTGCCCAGCACATTAGGTGCTTAATAAATGACGTATATATAGAATAAATGAATAAACACATTTTGGTTACAATGTGAAGAAGGTAAAAAATACTTGTCCCTGTTAGGAGGTGCCCCCTCTCACCATCACTTCAGCACCACCCCAAGGTCCCATTCATCTTCACTGTCAAGGTTACCAGTGACCTGTGGAGACATCTCAGCAGAACTGGACACTCTTGAACATACCCTTCTTTTTTTTTTTTAATATTAAGAAAGACAAACTTTGTAATGATTAATAGATTCATTTAAACAACAGTACATATAGTCATCATTGCCAGACTTAATATGAGATGTTAAATGTTTGATCCAATTTTCCTTCCCGGGTAAGTTTTTCTTTCCTATCTCTGTCGGTTTTGAAAACATAATACCAGAAGAGGAGGGCCCCAATTCCAAACA